ATCCTGTATATAAAGTATTCGTTAATCAGCTTTCAAGTAAATGGCTTCATTTCCCAGTTCTATTTTGGAGGTTAAAGAGAAGGAAATGTTTTATTTTGAAAGAACACATATAATTAATACTAACCATTCATTTCCATGAAATAACCAATTTGACTTTGTATATCCCCCATCCACGCCACAGGAAGATATTAAGTTGCAGTGAAAGAAAAGAAAACGAAGTTAAAGCTTTTGGTGAGAGGGAATGAGTGTTTGTAATCTCTTTGCCTCCCCTTTTCTCACCACACACCCACCTCACGATTAAAACGGAGTTAAAGCAACTGCTATTGGACTGCACTGAGCTGGACAATTAAAGCAATGACAAGTTCAAGTAATTACCAGCCAGATGCGAACACCAAGGAAGGCAGCATTACATCCCCTACACCACTGAGACTGCAAAGAAATAAAGGCATGTAAGCGGCTTTCTCAGACACCCTGCAATCACGACCCCCCCTCGCTCAGTAATTTCAAAGGCAGAATAACCTTCGTAAATGGTCCACGTGTGCGCACACACAAAACCCATTCTGTGCTGGTGCGGTGTTCAAAAGAGCAACATCATTATGTGCTTTATCAAATCTATACTTAACTTCTCGTGGTGTAGTACATGTAAGTTCTGCAGACTGAATTTATTTGTGTAAACTGGAAAAAAAAAATAGAGGAAGAGATAGCACGCAGCCTGACGGGAACCCTCATTATCACAGCTTTGCTGATACTGTTGGTAGCGCCAGCAAGAGACTTTCTCCTGTTCACAAGGTGATAACTCGGAGGACCTTGATTAATGTTCATTACTCAGGCAGACAAATTCAAATTTACCCAGCAACTTCTGCGATCTGGGTGAGTCTGATAAGTAGCTGGAAGGCATGAAAATTCCTATCTGAACTTATTAATGCATCCTAGAAAAAAATACTTTTTTAACAGTAAAATCTAAACCGCACATATATCACAGCCGAGCTTATCTCTTGAATGGCTCCAAGGGAGGGAATGGACTCGGTCTCCTAGTTACTCTACCTTTTTGATGGCAAAAGAGGATCGCTGCAGTACAGCGCCTATGTTTCATATCAACAGCCCCAGTCTCTGAGTGAAGTACGGGGACTTGAGTGCCACCACAGAAACAGCAGTTTAATTACCCTGTGACGGCAAGGATATTACGTTAGTTTTAATGAGTACATTCAGCGTGAATACCTTGGGGTATAGAACTTATCCATGCATCAGGCATGAAAACAAATTCTAATTAAAAAAACCTCACAACTTTGAAGAATCTTCTTCATATCCACCCACCTCCCTCAATAATTGTTTTATATGAAGTGAAAGAGTTTGTGAGCATCCTAAACAACTACGTTGAAGGCAATTATACTGTTATCCCAGGAACAAGCTCTACTCTAGAGCACACGTATAATGCCACATTATATACTTTCATACCTACACTGCACTTGCTTAATTCAAGGAAACCCATGGAGGGCTTGATAAGACATTTCTAGGGCCAGCTCCAGCCCAAGATCAGATCAGACTGTTTTTATTTCTTACTACCTTTAAGCTCCAGAAAGCTCTTTCTCCTTATACGATTTCCTGCTGTTTAATAATTAACTGAAACTATTCTGGCGACAGCTCCAATAATAAATACTGAGATAGGCAAAATACCTGCGGAGGTTTCCCTTGATGTGTCTGCCTTATCACTACAAATCTGGAAATTGCAGAGTATATTTAATACTGGAGAAGCTTAAAAATATAGATTTAAATGTCTAATTATTTATCATGCTTTTCACACTTGATTATCTCAACTCTGGTAACTTCTAACTTGACACGGTTTTTTGTTTGGTGTTTACGCGCGGGGTTGTTTTGTTTTGTCGGTTTGCTGGGCTTTTTAATTTCCAGTGTCTACTCAAGAGGAGAAGACTGAAATCACTACAGCAGCTTCCACCGTGTACCTGGTGAGTTAATAAACAGATGGTGCAATTAGAGTGACAAGCATCATACCAGAAAAGACCTAGAGGAAAAATAGTAAGCAACTCAAAAAGAAACCACCTCTCCCTCTGTTGTCACTGAAGGCAACAGCTTCTCATGTCTAAAAACCTCAAAGAAAGAGTGTCTGCTAAAAGATGAGCTGTCCCAAATATCACAGGGATGACAGAAAGGCACTCAGTTAAGGACAGACTGTATTTCATCGGCATTGACTATTTGAACACTTTGAAAACCAACTAAGACAAAAATGAAGAGACCTGGAACATATCCTTGGAGATCTGTAGAGGGGTTTTGTTGAGTACTCCTACCCCTGGAGTAGCAGAACAGACTCTTAAGAAAGTACCACGAGCCTTAAAAGAATTTGCATCAGGTAGCAACAAAATAATTTTGGGCGACTTCCTGGGGAGTCGAAATCTCAAAAAATCAGCTCATGTAAAACACATTAAAGATGCTGTAATATTCACCCCTTTATCAGCTCTCCACAGATTCCCACCATGTATAGAGTAATTAATTGAGGCATTCAGAATATCTGAAAGGGACCAGGAAAAAAACCAATTGCAAACAAACCCACACACACACCCACAGAGTTTAAAATGTTATTTGCAGCTTCACACAATGTGACAGATGTCCTGGAAGGACACTATCGCTAATACAGACCTTAAGTGAGAAGATTCCAGCCAATTTCTACCGTATTTCAAGCAATCTTTACACGAGTAAAACCTACATTTAGTTGAGAATATGAGTAACTGCCACACAGCTTTTACTCAAAATGAAATTACAGACAAGAAGTATCCCATTTTTATGCGATCAGTATAGCAAAACGTAGAACCTGTGGGATTTTTGAAAACTGCCCTGTACAAAATTGTATTGAATTACTGTATGTGCAACAAATAGACAAGAGCTATTTCCACTGGAGCAGCAAAGGATGCTAAGGTGTACAGATGGAAATGATAGGTTTCTCTCGCTTAACTATAATGATTCTAAAGTGCAGAGAGAAGAACAAATGTATTGCCACCTATACAAGCATTGAAACAGTCAGAAGGCAGAAAGGTATTAGCATATACAGCAAATAGCTCTCTACAGAAAAGCATTTGCACAGCATTACAAACGTATCAGTTACTATTAAATATACTATATTAATTTGAAACTAATAAAACTATGCTATTTTGTATAAGATTTCCACTAATTTACAGTAATACACTGTTCTTAGTAAAGTTTCCACACACACAAGTAAGATGGGGGCTCAGATGGCGGTAGAAGATGGTGTGTGTTTAATTTCATCTGCTGATATAGGTGTCTGTAGTTTCAATGCAGGGTGTAGAAGCAGCATGGGTACTACAGAAAGAGAGGTTTTGCTTTGTATCTGCCAAATATTATCATTCAACACTGAGACACGTAAATTACTCTTTCCATTCTCAATACTACAATAAAACATCTTATGCATAGGGAAGCAAAAAGATCTTAACATTAAAAAGATACACAGATACACTTTTAGACCTTAACCTTTGTTGAAGAAACCCCCTACGATTTTATGTTCAATTGATCATGAGAAAGCATGTGAGAAGCAGGGTATCAGCTTGGAATTAGTGGTTTTAGGGTAGGACTATCAATCGAGCAAAACTTCAATTAGAGGCTAATTTAGTGTATACCCAAGTACGTCACTGCAATTCAATAAACACCTCTTCAGAATTAAACAATCCCTATTTGCTTCATTTCAGCCTGTGTGCATGCATTACAAATTTGCTATTCTCCCCACTAAAATTAGTCAGTCTGTTTGGAAGCGCTCATCCACGCAACCCCGGTGTGTCACAGTGCTGCACCAAACCACTTAACCTTACCTGCTTCCTAAACAGAACCAGAGTGTACCCTCCCATAACAACATTACTGTCCTGAAGTTTCTTCTAGCAAGATATCTACCCAAGTAATTCAGCAACATCTTTCCCAGTGGACATCCAACCATTCATGTTTATAACTTATTCTTCTATTTTTTTTTCTTTTCTGATATTTTTGATCATTAAAGTGACAGGCACCCATTCAACTTTGCATATTCTGATATTTGGTTGCTCTGAAAGACTGTCTTCCCTCTATTTAGCTATGATACAGTACTAGATTTGCTACTCCTGGCAACTCAATTCTATTTTAATAATGAATTAGCTCCTCCGGATTTGAACAAGATTCAAGATCACCAAGTGGGAATTAAAAGCACCTGGCATCTAACAGAAGCATTCTCTTCACGATCTGTCTAGTCTGAATATCTGCACAATGCAGCACACTGTATTTAAGGCATTGCAAAGAGATCAGTACACTGATCATCAAATGACAGAGTAAGCTGGCAGAAAGTAGTACAGTTGTCAAAAGCGATCTTGCAGCCCTCCATTTTCGCTAAAATTTTGCATCAATAAAATTATACTTATCGAGCAGGCCTGTACTCCCATACAGTGAGCATCCCTGTGGTACAGCAAATGGCACTTTAGTGCACGTCTCATGGAGACAAGATTAAGACACATCTTGCATGTGTCAGGCTCAGTATCAGCTCTTGAATCACAGTAAATAACAAAGCTAAAACCCTGGCATCCTTCAAGAACCACTGACGTTTTTAGACTGCGTACTTCAGGACATCAGCAGAATCAGTCCCATCGTTTACTCCCAGCAGCCCTGAGCAGTCTCTTCTGCCGCGCAATGCTCCATCACAAGATTATTGATGCCTGACAAAATACTGTAAAGGAAGGCAGATGAGGCTGACTGACAGGCAAACTGTTCAGCTGACTATATTAAAAGTAGCCATAGGTACTAAGCATTCCTACAAAACTGTATGCAGACAAAGTTTCAACTCAAATATTTCTTTTCAGAAAATGGCTGAAATTCAAGTCACTTTTACCCTTTATTCCTACTTAGATTTAATATGAATGAAAAAAACCAGGTCCAAGAGGATGTTAATCTTTATACAGAGATGCCACCTGGGAGGAAATACTCATCTTGCATAAACCTGCTTTAGTGCAACCTACCTTTCACTATTAATTCTGCGTAATTCGAAACTCCAGATCCACCATCTGAGCGAATGACACATCGGTACTTGCTGATGCTGCGCTGAGAGGTGTCAGCCACACTGACGGTAGCAGAAAAGCGTCTATGGTTGACCACTCGAGTGACCATTAACGCTGTGTCCCGTCCATTCCACTGCTGTAAAGGCAGACAAAAATAATGTAAATTACGAAGACACAGATTATGCATGCACATGCCATTCATTCCTTGTTGTGCTTCTTAACATCGTTCAGAACTTCATGCTCCCATCGCTAGGTTAGATTTTATACAAGCACAACTTTTCAATAAAAGACTGCTAACACTACTCCTAAAAAAATTAAAGGTTTTTTTCATGTTTATTTAATTTTTGAAACATATTTGGGCCTATGATGTGTTATATGCATTGAAAAGGCTGGAGAGTGACAGTTCAGACTGTGCAATTGTACACAGCATATTTAGAGGCTTGGCTAGGATATGAAAATACTACAAAAGAAGAATGGGGTTTGTACACCTGGGAAAATTATACAAATGAACACATTTTATAAACCTTGCATTTTCAAATATAAAACTTTGATTCTGGATCAATTTAAATAAATTGGTTGGTTGAGCAGACATCCTTACGTGTTCAACATTCCCCAATAACGCTGTCTTCCAATGCCAGACTACATTTTCCCAACTGGACAAGGGACAGATGAAGAATTCACTAGAAACAGAAGTTCTCCACAGCATAAACACCAGAACTTGCTCAGTTGGTCTGGTTTATTAGGAGTTTCAAAGGAAAACACACTGCTGTTTTGCCAGCTTCCAGTAACCAGTTTTTGGGGGTGTTTCCAAGGCTGTTTTCATTAAATGTTTCCATTTTGGAGAGTGAAAAACGGGTTTCCACTAGCAACAACAACCATTTCCTCCCAAATCCCTGCTTCTCACAGGAAAAGGTTCATACTGCTTCAGGTCAGAAGTGTTTTTACACCCATCTAGTCATAACTTTGGAAACATTTCACTGAAAGTACTCAAAAAAGAGAAACCATAAGCCAAAATCTCAGTGGATGCTGGAAGTACACCACAGGTTAATAAATTCCAGATAAAAAATATTTTTTTAGGAGAACAGCTGTGATGAGAATACAATTACAGTGACTGTCAAGTCATTTTTACATGATGCCAACTACATTTTTACCAACTCAAGCTTTTTTCCCAGTACTAATTTTAATTTTTATTGTTAGGCAAACTGATTCCTCTCCTAGTGTTGAAACTATAAAAATAACAATTTCAAATCTAGTTTATTAAAATGCCTGAAGTCCATTAAAAAGTTCGAGAAAATCTGTTAGTTATTTGACTACAAATACCACAGCAACCATGAGAAAGGCCATTCTTGTCTGCCTCAGACTATAAATTATGAGGTGGTCAGGCCCTTACTTACCTCAGCCCAAACTGAGAATGAAAGTTGTCGACTGACTTCAGCGTTCTGAAATTTTATGTTGGCCTTGTGTCCATGCACAGGACATTTAGGAAGAGAATCCCCTGGACTTTTTGGGGATGTTAGGTGTGTAATGGCACAGAAGTTCAGAATAAGTAAAGAGCTCAACTATATTTTAAAAGTTTCCAGAAGAGCTCTACGTACAGAGCATGGCAATGTTGGGACTCCACGTATCAGAGCACTTCAAAAGGAAAGAAGAAATAATTTTGCCCGTCGCTGGAAACATGTCCTCCATATCCTCAGTTTGAGATACATTTCATTTCTAACTCTGGAACCGAAAATGAGTTCTTCAGGTTGTTACCGTGCCCAGCTAAGAGCATGACTCAGCCTTTCAAATCCAACCAGTAGGGTGAAAAGACAGGCCTTAAGAGAGGGAATGCTTTGGTCTTTTACTGAGGGACTAAAAGGAGCAATCTGCTGTAAATGCAGCCAAGGGAAACTGGGAGAAAGAAAAACAGGGGGTACAAAATGGTTCTGCCTGTTTTCACCGTCCAGGTAGTAATGTCAGACCTCAGGTTTCCTTTTTACCATATCGTAACTGACTTAAACTGAAGACATTTTTGGAGGGTGAGAGGAAAGCAGATTGCGTAATAAAGCTGAAGTGAAGAGTTACTCCTCTTGTTCTGTCTCTTCTGCATTATGACTGAGTGCTTACAGGTGCATGGGCATTTGTTTGAAACCAGAATTTTGTTGCCAGTGGCCATTTTTTCCATTTTGTATCTAATGATTCTGTACATTGTTACCTTAAACTCTCACCTAGAAACAATTTAAGGCAGTCCTCAAAGGACCTTGATGAAAAGATTTTGCCCCACCAAACACTCAATCTACTTATTGCATTCAAAAAAGCAAAAACATAAACCAAACTAAACAAACACACAAAAATCCCAATTAAACAAACAAACAAGTGCATGACTCTACCTGGAGCCAGAGTTTGTCGTGCTGCGACCACTTCCCCCCAGCAATGCACTGGAACGTCGCGTTCTGTCCCACGTTAACCTCCACGTTCTGAAGCCGTAGGAAATGAGGTGCTTTTCCTAACAAAAGACACAAAGCATTGCAAGGGTAGAGCAAGGCGGCAATTGACTGTGTTACATCAACAGAGACAAACACTCAGCAAAGCATTAGGGCCTATCTTTGACCAAGTGATTTTGCAAAATAAAGCTGTCCTTCAGTATCTAACTGTTCACCGCAGAGCGAGGTGGATGATTGATCTGACAGAGGATGGCCTAAGGGACAATACAGAGCTCTGGCACATCTGAAGACATATACTTAGATCAAATCACAACACAAGTTCATGGTCATCAGCACAATTTCTTACTGCTTGCTATAAAGAGTAATTGAGTAATTCCTTTTCTTCAGAAAATTGTATTTCTGAAAAGGTCAAAAAAAATCAAATGCTTCTTAGCTTGTCAAGCATGACTGACCCAAACTAAACTTTTATAAGGGTCTTTTTTTCCTTTTTATTTTATTGACTCTCAAATACATCCTAGACTTTTAGAATAATAATGTGTCATTAATATCAAATCAGATATTAAATGAAATATTCATATAACTGACAGTACTGTACCATTCTATTAGTTTAAGATCGTTGATATCACTGTTTTGCTGATACTCAGTTCAGTATTAATTCAATAATAAACCACTGATATTAAGATGCAGACAACGCATTTGTACACAAAGGAACTAGATCAGAGGATTATCTTTTTTACTAAAGAACACACTCGTTTCCCTCTGTAAGTTAACTTACACAACAACAAAAAAGACTACAGCAGTAAATCTGCCATTTTAAAATTAACTTAGTTCTTGCTGAGTTTCAGAAGAAAGTTTATGCATAATTTGAACATTTTTAGTAGGACACAATTAAAATAAGCCAACTCCACATATGAAGCTGTGTAGCCTGGGTGAGTGCAGGCAGAAAAGGACCTGGGGGTGTTGGTGGACAGCAGGATGACCATGAGCCAGCAATGTGCCCTTGAGGCCAAGAAGGCCAATGGCATCCTGGGGTGTTGTAGATCAGAGAGGTTCTTCTTCCCCTCTACTCTGCCCTGGTGAGACCACATTTGGAATATCGTGTTCAGTTCTCGGCCCCTCAGTTCAAGAAGGACAGGAACTGCTTGAAAGAGTCCAGCGCAGAGCCACAAAGATGATTGAGGGAGTGGAGCATCTCCTGATGAGGAGCGGCTGAGGGAGCTGGGGCTCTTGAGCTTGGAGAAGAGGAGCCTGAGGGGTGACCTCATTAATGTTTATAAATTTGTAAAGGGCGAGTGTCAGGAGGAAGGAGCCAGGCTCTTCTCAGTGACAGCCAATGACAGGACAAGGGGCAATGGGTGCAAGCTGGAGCATAGGAGGATCAATCTGAATATAAGAAAACCTTTTTTACTGTGAGGGTGACAGAGCATGGTCCAGGCTGCCCAGAGAGGCTGTGGAGTCTCCTCTCCTTCTCTGGAGACATTCAAAACCCGCCTGGCCGTGTTCCTGTGTGATCTGGTCTGGGTGATCCTGCTCTGGCAGGGGTTGGACTGGGTGAGCTTTTGAGGTCCCTTCCAACTCCCGACATTCTGTGATTCTGTGAGTGCAGTCACACTGACCCCAAACTCCCTGTCCTCAGGTTTGCCCAGCTTTGGGAGCATAGGGCTGTCCCATCACTGCAAGTGCTCATGCACACACCGTCAATGAGCTTTTAGCATAATGGAAATTAATACTCCAGTGCATTCCTTCACAGGACCGAAAAAAAAAGCAATACCAACCATCAAGATATTTTTCTCCATTACTAAGTCATTATGGGCTCTTCACTGCATTTTTGCTGATACTTAGGTTTGTCTGCTATATTGTCATTTGTGACGGTAAAGCAGAAATGAAGAAATTACACCAACAATTTCAGTAACCTCCAGGGTCATCAGGAGCTTTGTGATCTTTGAGTTATAACAGCTGTAAAACAAATATGAGGGGCAAAGCCTGCACAAGTCAATGGAGCACACTCTGGTGACATTTACCCTGGTGGCTGTCATCGCTGAACAACAAAAGTACACAGGAGAAATATTTACAAAGGCTGCAGAGAACTTGCAGTAACGAGTTACAAGACCTGCATGCTGCAGGTTGCAAACAGATTCAAACTGGAGTAGTTAACGGTTTGAATAATTTTGGTTTTGAGTCCTCAAGAATGCACTTAATTTTGAAGAGGGACCTGCATATACTTGGAGAAATGGATTTAAAATCAATTGAAATACTTGAATAAAGAGGAGTGTAACACAGCATCCCATCTCTTTTTTAAATCCTTTAATTTCTTGTCTGTGTTTTGCCCCATGGTTTGCTCAGTGCCCTCTTTTCCAGCAAAGGGATCAGTCATCACCCATCACGCTGCAGAACACACGCAGACCATTTGGGGGATTTGTTTGGATGCTGCCAGTTATCAGCAACATCTGGTTAATACAGACTGTAAGTATTTCTTAATGAAGTAAATGCACCCAAAGGCCTGAGCAATGAGCACATGGTAAACACAAATATAAATTTAGTTAAACAGTAATTAACCATAGTGCAGCTATCAGGAATGTCCTGTTAAACTTGAGCAGAGCCATGTCTGTCACACCGAATGGCAGCTGTTCCTTGAAACTCTGTACTGCAAACAAATCAGGGGATTTCACCCCACTGCTGTGATCCATGATGTTTTTGTGAGCAGCTGTCATTTAACTTGCTAAAACTATGACCTAGGGAGAGTGGCTGTTAAAAAATGTCTGTAGAAGAAACTGTATACTACATACACAGTACAGACACACAAAGTCAAAGAGAAACCAAACAAGTGCAGACTCAAAGACCGCGGCTCAAGGTTTCTTTAAATAGAAAAAAGAAATTAAACTTACTATTATGGCTGCGATGGAATAAACACAGCACTAATATTTTTGAACAGCATAATGAACCTGCTTTACTTTCTACTCCTGTGTAAGTGTATTGTCTGAATGAGATTTATTTTTGTTATCTTTACAGGGGTGCTGAGCCAACATTTGTTGAGTGAGAGACCTTTGGGATATGTCCTTTACCAAGGAAATACCGAAACAATTTGTTTCTTCTTTCCTTAAGTTAATGACACAGGATATTATCAGAAGCTTTTTAGGTTGTTTTCTACAGCAATATGATTCAGAAATAATACAATAGTCAGTTTTATGTTCTCATAGCAAGAGAGGAAGAGAGCCTTCCACAGCTGTCCTGGCGCTAGCTATAGCCCAAGAGCAGTTTTGCCTTTTGCACAACTTGCAAAGTTCTGTAATTATGCAAAGCTGATTGTCTTTAGGTGTCTCAGAGGGGCACAAGAAGACATTTTAGTGCTGACCAAATTGGGTAAATACTCATTTAGGCTGTAAAGCCTCATATACAACACAGATACAGATAGACAAATAAAGAGTGCTCACTGCATGGATGGGCGAGAACTCTGACTTCATCCACAGCAATGTACCCTGGGTGTCCTTTCAAAGAGACAGATTCAAATATCACCTGAAATACAAAATAAGGAAAAGTTCTCTTAAAAAGAATAGCTACACTAGTCCATTTGGCCAGTCCCCATATTCTGCTCTTCATCCCATGTCTGAGTCATTCAAGGCATTTCAGCAATAATATTGAATGCATACCAAGACAACTCAATATGTACATGCATGCCAAAGATTTAAATTGTGTTTGATATAGAAAAGAAAAAGTTAGAGCAGAGTTCATTAGGATTAGAGACAACTATGCGATGTGTTCATTTGGAAGAGGCAAAATACGCAGTGTATATACACACCTTATTCACTTTAAGCACCAGCCCAAGAACATTATTACTTTTGATATCTTGTTCTTAGTACACCGTGGAAAGTTGGAGAATGCTGTACATGAGACAACAATTCCCTTGTTGAATCAATAACCCTGCACGGACTCTTCTGGAGAAAACCCTGGTTTGACATCCATGCTGCTGCAGTATTAGAAAGCAAATCATGAGCAACGGATGACCCTGGATTTTAGTCACTGGACTGAAAGATGAGTTTCCCAGATATAATAAAGCTGCTTCTGTCTTTCTCTGGATTGAACTGACATGGTCTGAGAATGAATATTCCTAAAAACCACATGCAGTATTTTTCTGCATTAATGGTACATGAACTAGCACTTTGTAATTTGTTTATGTACTTGGACAATGAAAGTGTTCCACTAATTTGGGTTTGAATAGACAGATACTCAATTACAGATGAACAAAAATCTCATTCTTCCCTATGGCTTTGTGATTTTATCTGGAAAATTGCCCAGAAGTGTCCAGTTACTAAAAGTAACCTGCCAGAGCTCACAGAGCGTTTGGACGATGCTCTTTGCTATATGGTTGAGTTTTAGGTAGTCCTGTGAGGAGCAGGGAGCTGGACTTGATGGCCCTCAGGGGTCTCTTCCAACTTGAGACATGCCACGAGGCACAGGAAGTTTCGAAATGTTACATTGCAATAGAAAAAAGAAAACTGCAGACTGATTATTTAATATCTTGGTAACACTACCTTTCAAGCTGGTGATTCTCTTCCCAAAGGAATGAAGTGCTATCCTATATTTATATACACAAAAAAAAGAATTAATGGAGATGTAATGAATGCTGTCCTCTGCGTTTGAAAGGGATGTCCCCAGTTTCATTCCCTCTTACTAAAGCAATGTTCACGCTGTACTAAATTGCTCATTTCTGCATGAGTATACAATAATGTTTTCAAGAACAGAGTTAATTATCATATTCAGCTGGCAAAGTTATTACTATTAGAGCAGTAATCTAGTGCAGCTTCTTGTTTCATAGGAGAAAGTATTTCAGTAATTTGTAACCTCTAAAATTAATCACTAGAACACAAAGTTAACCACTTAAAGCCAGTTTTCAACAGTTATTTGCATTCTAAATCAAAAGCTGGTATTCCCAGTCACAGGAGGAAGGAAGTCTCTGGAAGATAAAATAATCCAGAAAACATCAACAAGTGTTTTGTGTTATCAAGGTTCTTTACAGGCTTTTCAGGTGTGGTATAAAATAAGAGTATAATGGAAGTCCTTAGTGTGGAAATTAGAATTGTTTTAGAAATGAAATGTCATTCATTATAAAAATTACAATTATTGGGAAGGTCATGTAAGGAACTACTGCGACTTTCTTCAGACTTGAATTACAGTGCACATTACAGCTACAAAACCTTAGTTTAGTTTTGCATTTGTGAGAAGCTAAAGCCACAATGACCTAACTCTCAATTTCATGCAAGCCAAGAACTTTGAAAGTGAAGTTCTCCAAGGCTCTGGCATTAGCAATTAGTGCCTGGCAAAAGCAAGCACTGATACAGACAGAATTGTCTTCTGTTAACGTCCAACATGGAAGGAGTCTTTAATACAGCACAATACAACTTACGCCAGTAACAACTGACTTAACTCCTAATAAACTCATGCACACTGGTGCAGAACCCACCAAAACCAGAGGAGGATTCCTCAATCCACACAATATCACTTTGATAGACTACTTTGCTATCTGTTCCACTTTACAGTCAGATATTCTTGTTTTCTCCCAGTTTAAACTTCCACACTGTTGTCTTTTTCTGTACTTTGCAGCCTCTCAGCCCTATCAAAGGGAGAAGCACAGAAGCACTCAGGTTTTCCTGGACACAGGGAATTGAGATCCAACATGAAGAAAAGGCAGGAATAAATGCTGCAATTCTGCAAATTTCACACTGAATTATCTCTCATGTCCTTTAAACTTCAGTTGGAAAAGTAGTATAAAGGTTGAGACACAGGCATTTAACAATGCTTTACATTTAAGGAACTTCTCAGAAATTAATAGAGATGACAAAACGCAAAGCTTTACCCTTAAATTCTTAAATGCTCCTGAGAACTGCAAATACTAAGTCATTTCACGCTTCCTTCCCAATAAACAAACCTACATTTCACTGCTGCTGTACACCAACAACGTCTGTGTTAGCAAACTAGCCTGGTTCATCTGTTGTGGTACAACAGTTTTCTCCAGGCATAGATCAATAACTTTCCTTGCTATACATCAAAAAAACCTCTTCCTGGCAGACTCTAGTGCTGCCCTCGGTGCATTCTGGGACTAAGTTCATCCTTATGGCAAGCAGTAATTCAAGACTGCGTGTATTACCTTTCTCCAAGAACTATTACGGCTCTTTCTTGCTACACTAAAAACCTGTGCAGGCTGGGAATCCACGTATGAGTAACTCCAGGGTAGACATCATAAATCTCCACCATCCCCAGGTTCCTATCTCAGCAGAGTGCTTTTGCATCCAGATGCCTCTCAGGACCCTTGAACCACCAGAACTCAAGGCACTGGGCTTGGTTACTGGTTTTGCACCAGTCACATCTCCAAAGCTCAAAGTACTGGCTGAAGCCTCAGACCCAGGGCAGACAGCCTCAGATTTTCTGCCTGACTGAATTCTTGATGCACACTGCAATTCAAGATGATGTGGTTTCTGCACATTAAGAGAATAATCCACATTTTGCCTGACGCAGATTTCATTACTTAGGAAAAATGCTATTTTTTTTCCTGTGTTACCTGGTGCTTTTGAAATAGAGAACATGTTTTCAGGCCTCTTGTGTACAAAGAGCTCTCCAGGCATGCAATTTTGATTTAAAGCCGACAAATAACCCTCTGCTGGCACATTCTAGATTGTGAGTGTGAAATGAGACACTCCCTGGGCAAGAGTACACCAAGCCTTTGTCATCCTGCACCTCTGGACTGCTTTAGCCAGCACTTCAGGCTGCCAAACAACAATAATTGTGTTTTCCTCTTCACTTGTGCAAGCTTCAAGTTGTCTTTTTTTTTTTCCCCCAAACCTTGATTAAATGTAGAGGATTGCGACCATCAACAGCAGATGGTTTGTAAAATCAGTGACTGATGATACATCACTCTACGAGATCCCCCATAACAGGGGGACACACCTCAAATGTTAAAAGCCACACTGAAGGAATAAGAATACAAAGAGAAGCAGAAGGAAACAGCACCCCCATGCATCAAAAAAAGTAAAAACTAATTTTTTAGAAAGGAACTACTCCTAGGCAGTTACTGCTGGCTTCCAATCTGTTCATTTTTGCACTGCACTGAACAATTCTTGTTTGATTTAAAGGACTTCTTTTGCTCAAGAAAAGCAAACTTGACCTGCAAACGGACTTGCAAAAGAAGGAAGTAAGGCTCAGGAAGTCTACTATTGGTATAGCTAAGAGCAGGATCTCTCTTAGTGGGAGATCAGACTCTTCTCCAGGTTTTTCAAGCACTGATTACCTGGGTGAAAGATCATTCTGTTATCTCTGTGGAGCACCGACTATGAAGCAAATTCTGGTTCATGACCAGGTTCACGTTAATATGAATGCAGTGTAAGTACTTTAATGTGACTTCAGAACAAGTGACAAGTTATGCACAGCCCTTAAAACACTGCTTTCAACGCGTTTGCATCTCTTTATCCCTTCCTCTCACCCTGCATAGCGTGCTCCATGTATTCTGATATCCCCAACGCTTTTTCAGAGGCAGAACATTAAAGCATTCTACTTCAGCTCAGGTTTTACAGACCTCCTACCCAGTTATTACAAGCAAAAAAAAAGAAGAAAAAAAGCAAGCTTTTCTACCTGCTGTTTTTTCTCCCCAGACTATTTGCTGCCTTTTCACAGTTTACTCTATCGTAATTCCTATCTTGTTCATGTCTTTTATTACTATCATATGTACATCAGCTTTTCCTGCAAGGTTAAGCGTGCAATTACCTCCTAGGCTTTTTTCTTTTCTTCAACATAGAACCAGACAAGAAACACACCTTCAACACCTCACAGAAGCACGTGAGTCCATTGTGTGCAATCTTATCTAGACTAAAACAATGGCTGCAAAATTGCCAGATGAAGTTTGCAGTGGACAACCAACATGCAGCTGTAAAATTAATACAACAAAAAACAACTTACCCATTACATTCAGTATACGTTGATAACGCGGTACCAGACTTTATTAGTAGCTTATGGACTTACAGCCCTCATGTGGGCACAGGAGAAGTCCAAATGCAAAACTGAGTGAACAAACGCTGCTTCTTATGGAACCAACCAAGGGCCAAAACCAGTTCAGGCACATTTATACAGAGATACAGCTTCACACCTAGACAGCTGTATTTACATTTACACAGTGCCATGGAAAGCACGAAGACAAGTCTGTTTATGTGCCAATTTAATGATAAACAAGTGGGTCTTAACTTGCCAATAATTTGACTCCCAGTTCTTTGATTCATTGGTCCGTGACCTTACAACTGAAGAAAAAGGATGAAGTGAGATATTACAAACTCATACCTGATAAAAATGCGGCCAGAACGTACTGATGGCAAGCTCTGCTTTCACCCATCCTTCTGTAACAACCCCCGAGACGTTCCAGATGGGGTTGCCCTGTGGCCCCCCGTTCACCTTCACGTAGACGTTCAGCGAGCCGGGGCTCGACCGGTCTCTGCTGGCCAAGTAGTAGTGGAAGTCGATGCAGTGCGTGTCATTCTCCTTCAGTGTGGGCAACAGCAAGTGAGCTTTCTGCCCTGACGCCCGCCCAGAGCTGTTCACCATCATGAAGGAGCCTATAGAGGAAGGAGAGAGAGAAGAATGAGTGGTTTTGCTTGGCTTTTTCAGTAAAAACAGTTCCATTAGAAAAGGCAGTGATTCCCTTAGAAGCCAGAAAACAAAGCTCTAATTAGCTGTTTTATGCTAGTTGTTAGGTAACTGAAAGAAAGGATATTAACATTGCAGGGCATATACACAAATAGATTCAGGGCCAACTAGAACTGCTTTAATTAGATAGCTTATAAAATCAAAATAAAAATACTATTTGGCTTTTATTATTTTATAACCTTGTGATAAAACAGTCACTCTAAACAAATCACATTCACATTTCAGGCAGTAACGAGGTTCTCCTACCACGTACAGTCCCCCAAAGGCACATTCAATACAAAAACTACAACAACAGACAAATTCTCAGCTGATATTTGCCTATGTGGCCCCTATCCACTTCGTAAAAATCTCTACCTGTGAACCCTGCATCTCGGCACCATAAGCTTTTGAAGGTTGTAATGTGCGAAGAAAAACCCAATTTTCAGAGCCCGAATGGATTAGGCTTGTTAGCCTAACAGCCACATCTCGACTAGAAATAATGCAACAAGGACAATTATACTTTTAGGAGGGAAGGACAGGCTGAATTTAGGGAGAGAAATATATACTAAAGCAATTTAGGAGTTTGTTAACCTGGGAGCTTGCATTATATTAACCACAGTACTTGATGTTGAATTCACATTTTGATTCATCAAGCAGTTATTTTACAGCACATTGTGTCCCAACTCATCTCTTCACAGATGCATCAAGGTGACAAATGTTAGCAATAAGGAAAAACATTATGAGAGTTATTTGACTCAGTTCTGTTTAAAGGACGTCCCTTATGTGTGTGCAGACAGACACTCAGAAAAACCTGAAGAAAATACTAAGACTGGGGCAGGGGGAGCAAAATCTGAGTGCCAGCAGCCAGGCATGGTAATTTTTAATCAAACGCAGCTCTCTTGACACTCTTGGTTGTGCTGCCGCCGCCAAGGCGTGCTACAAATGCATTTCTCTGCTGGCCTCTTGCAGTTCACAGAAGATTGAGTTTGAAAAGCTTTGCCTCACACTTCTAACCCATTGACTTTCCCT